ATATTGACTAATAACATGCAAAAAGTAGACAAATTCCCTGACCTCTCAAAATTTTTCTTGCTCTAACTATTTGACAAGAGCCATTACAAATTCATCCAAGCTAGTCGATAACTTCCCACGGGAACGATGTTGTTTAAATTTAAACATTCAGAACATAACGTTATACAATATGTCATTTGATAGATGAAAACCTTGACTTTCTATTTATTACAGGTAATATATAATGAAATGTAAGAGAGAACTATCAACAAATTCTGAAATAGAGAATGTGACAGGTGGGTGTGGCATGAGGGGTCTGATTTTCTACTTGATAGCTCTGTAACCAAACAAAATTCAAAGCTATAAAAATTATGGTTTGTCTGAGTAATAAAGATTACAAAGAGAGTAATTTATGTTTAATTTCCTGCTATTTAAATTTTGCTTTATAGAATTAAGAACTTAAAACTTGTTTTATATTAATATATGGATTATTATCTAAGATATTATGCTATTTTAATTGGTATAACGTAAACACAAAGTAGTTTAATAAAAGTTTGAATGTAAAACACTAAAACCTTGTATCCTGTGCAGTAACGAATACCTTAGGCGATAGGGTTAAGACCATCTGTGCATTGCCTCCTTAACCAGTCCCTCTTCTCAACTGTGACATTCATGTGGTTCTCTAAGCTCTTACATGCCCTTCTTTTAGCTTTGGCCACTTGTTTTTGTATTATTGATCTCTCAAGACATAATTTCTTCTTTTCCTTTTGGTCATCATTCAGACAGTTATGCCTAGAATGCCTATCATGCTTTCTATAACAGGGACCAGTTGATGTTATTTCCAGACCTCTCCTTTCTTCTGAAGACATGGGCTTCCTAAGAGGGCAATTGGATTATTTCTACTCATCTTTCTCCCCCTCTATTTCCTCATTGTATGGTTGTTCTTTTAATGATCTTATTTTGTGTCTTGTACAGACAGTCCATTGCTATCTTGCTCAGACTGTTCCTTTTTGTGGAAACTGCCATTGTATGTTTTTATTGTGGCAGACCTCCTTCTCTTGAAACTTGTCTCTTTCCCCTTTAATTGATTGAGTTTGCAAGCTCACTCATCTTGCATATTCTTTTTTGAGTGAGTCTGACTGTACACTTTTTTGTGTCTCCTACCACCAAATTTGCCATGTCACAGTCTCTCTTCCATCTTTTTGTTGCCAGCCGTAGGAGATCTTACAGGATAGTATGTGGACTACACCAAACACAGTCATCTTCCATTATTTACATTATTGGCCAGTTTCTTATGGCTCTGGTTTTTGACTCTTCATTTACCATTTTTCACTCTACCCAAAGACTATGTGGCAAGTTTTGCCTGTTGTGTGTGTTCTTCAGCCATCTCCATGTCATTCATATTATTCCTGGCACCTCCATATGTGTATCATTATTTTTGTACACATTCTAAGTTCCTCAACACATGTACTCACACACACACAAATGAACAAGAGGAGGCAAGACTGATTGAGGAATTATACCATATTTTCATTATGCTTCATGTCATTTGAACCCACCAAGTGACCATCATTGCCTCACAGAGAATACTTACTCAAAATCTGCATCTAGTGAGGGAGAACAGAAAGGTAATAGTTTTTAGTGGTACATAGCAGTAAGTATGTATCTGAAATACACTTTCAGGGAAGGAAAACGTTAATGTTTGGTGACTTTTAGATTTAGAGCTCAGAAGTAGTTTTTTCAGTTATTTAAAAAAACAGATTGGATCTATTTGTAGGAATTTTTAATCTGTGAGTAAAAAGCTTATTTTAAACTTGTATCTGTATCAGAGCAGGGAGACCTCAATTAAGAACAAGTTTTGTTTCCTTCACTATGCAAAAATAGCCATATGTTGCAAAGAGTGCAGAGATGAGCTATTAAAATGATACTTGCTGTAGACAACATAAGGCTTACATAGAAATAGAAACTTAATTAAACTTGTTTTCTATGAAGCATGGAAGAATTAGAGGTATTTTTATTCAAACGTTTAAAAATGTTAGAGATTTAGATAATTTTTGTATAGATTGCTTGTTTGAATAATGGAATATGATATGTTTGTAAATGTGAACTTGCATATTGAGGATAACACTGTAGTTTTAAGCTTTGGAAGCCCAAAAGGAGACTTCTTTTCATTTTAGAATGGTTTCTTTAAGATTGTAATTTATGCCTATTCTGAATTTTTTAAACTTTTGATTTTTAAGAAATTATAGTGCTTTAAAACAATGAAATGGTTGGATAATAATAAAAAAAATACTTGAAATATCCTTATTTATTATAGATTTATTCATTTTTATATTATCTGGATTGTTCACAACTTATTAACCATATAGTTTTTGAATTAGTTGCCAAAAGACGTAAGAAGTTTCAGAAATAACTTTTGAATAATAATCCTAAGTCATTTAGGAGATGTTTGTTTTACTTGTTGGAATTATTGCAAAATAACAAAGATTTATTGATTTCAGTCTGTTTTAGCCAGTGATCATGGAATGTGCCCCCATTAAAACACTAAGTGAGGTATTGAAATGGAACGAATCACCGCAGTTTTTGTCTTCAAAGACAATGACTTTAAGAAAAAGAGTGAAATGTCAAACTTCATGTATTCCTCGTACCCTTGTGTGTCATGATATGCAAGGTGGTTATTTGGATGACAGGTGAGACAGAGTATTTTTATCAGTACTAGACTATTTCTTTTAAACTTACATACTATATAATTATATGTTATTCTTATTAGTTATTGAAAAGTTTGTAAATGGTGTAGTTTTTAGTGTATGATAAATACAAAGAGTGGTTTGTGAGATGGTATTCATTATTGTTAATTATTATCATGTTTATATTTGTCATACCCTCTCCTTTGGCATTTAGTTGAGCAGCCTCATAAGTTTCTTTATGCATGAAGTCAACTCTCAACCTGTTAGAGTTAACTGTAACACTTCTCTCACACTGAGACAAAATTGCTGACACTGGGTGGCAGTGAGGTCTTATTCATAGTAGGTATTAGGGGTGCATATCTCATCATAGTAGTCGATACAATACATATCTAGATATTGATGCCAAAATATGATACATATTTAGATACGGAAGTTTTACCAGTGGTTTGTTAAAAAGTTTGACAGTCTTGTCTTTAATTTATTTTCTGTATCACTAACATTGTCTTATTTAAGTACTTCACACTTTACAGTGTTTTTTCAAGTTTTATCAACTAAATGGCAGTTGGCAAGAGAAGTAAAATAAAAATAAGTTAATATCTTTTTATGTATTTTGTTATTGTTAATTTGTTATGTTACTTTGCATGTAATGTTTTTGATAAAAGAAATGAAGACAACATGTAGTACTCAATACTCATCTTCCTTTACTGAATCATTAATTTTTAGCAAAAATACTTTATTAGGAATTCTCATTTTTTCTATACAAAAGACTTGTAGTGTTTACTGAAAGCTTGTCAAATTTCGTGAAGATACATAAATCGTATCGTGTCGGACGATGTATGACGATGTATCGATACAATCGTATCACGACTTCACGATACCGTACTCGTATCGTATCGCTGTATCGCCACACTTTTAGTCTATATATGTATATACAAATCAAAGGCAAAACCTTCACAATGAGATTTAAAAAATGGAAAAGGCCTGTGGTCATAGCTTCCAAAAGTATCGGGAAGATATTCCATCTATTAGACATGGTCCAAACACAGATGTCGAATTAGTTAGCAGCCACGGAGAATCAATTAGAAGTTAGAAGTTGAGTGCTTAAACCCACAACGTCTCAACTCTTTCTGCTTTTCGCTGTCTGTAGCCAGTTGTGGGAAGGCAGTCACCAATCCAGACGTATAAAAAGAGCCATGTAGCAGAAATAAACCATCCTATGTTTCTACAATTTAATATTTCCAACCTCCACTCTTTTCAACAAGTTATACATGTGACAAAATGATGTTAAATTAAGCAGTCATCCCAATATTTGGATATAAAAAT